CATGATTAAATGTTAATACTTCAAACAACTTTTTTGCTAGAGTGTTCCTGTCTATGCCATGGGAGATTAAATAGAAGAATACATTGTGAATCTCTTGCAGGTAAATATCTGACTAACCAGCATGACTCACGTGACGACAAGGAAACTTCAGTGCCGATGACTAGCCAAGGTATGATTGTGATATGGGGCCTTTTTTCTGATTTCTAATTTACGTTTGGTAAGGTCTGTTTCATCTCGGCATATATTTAAATGTTCTCTTTAATGTTAGTATGTTCTATCTGATTCCTTTTTTGTTTGTTTACAATGCATTTGCTTTCATGTGATTTCTCTTCTTTTTTGTGTGCCATATATGTGCGCCTTTAATGCCCCCGGTCACATCGGATCTTACGAAATTTTGTCGTGTAAATCCATAAAATATTTGTCTTGGCCATTCTCTTGCAACATGGCCTAAATCTATTTCGAGTGGTCACAAGGGCTACGACAATGGTTTTGTGATGAACGCGTCAGAAAAAAAAAAATGTCGTCGTTATGCCGTGGTTGCGTAACTTTCGTTATCACTTATATGCTTTTCACACTGGCAATATTTTCCTTAACCCCGTACTATAGGTGGGGTTAAGGGGGTCTTAACCCCACCTATAGTACGGGTTAAGCCTATTCCACTTTCTGTTCACACTGGCTTTTACCAAAGTGGGCTAAAGTTGGCTAACCCCACCTATAGTACGGGGTTAACTAACCCTGCAAAATAGCAGGGCTAACTCCGCAATTGTGGTGCTAACTCCTGCTAACCCCGCAATTGCGGTGCTAAGCAAACGAATGAGAACAGAAACGAAAAATAGTCCGGTACTACGCAATGGAGCGTATCGCAGCTGGCCAGATGCGAAGTATGTCCTATCATAACATACACGATATCCGGGGTTAACGAAATGCAGTGAGAACAGCGGGAATTTTCTTATTCCGGAATAGGCGCTAGTACGGGACTAAAAATAGCGAGTGTGAAAAGCCAAAAAAATAGTCCGGGGTTAAGGATAGTACGGGGCTAAGCAAAGTACGGGGTTAAGCAAAACCAGTGTGAAAAGAGTATAACGGGCTAATATTAAGGTAAGATTTGTTTGTTTGTTTTATTTATTCACCATGCAAAATAATTGTTTACAGATAATACAATTTAGTGGGTTACAATATATAATAATACATAGTAGGAACAATGTATAAACAAAAAATGTTTGAAGCGCAACGTCCCTGAGATAACAGCTGGTAATTATTAAGTTTAAATAAAACATGGCTTGAAATAAGACATTCTGTCATTACAAAATTAAAACATATACAAATCATGCCCCTTAATGTACCTCTTCTTTACAAAAAAACAAACAAACAATATCATAATATACCTCAAAAGTTAACAAGCATATTTGGAGAGAAATAATTCCTTCAGTTTTTTAAACAACAACAAATTATTACAAGTTCTTATTTCCTGTGGCAAAGCATTCCAAATGTCAGGACCTACATATCTAATTGATCTGTGGGCTAAGGCACTCCTTGGCGCAAACAAATGGAAATCAAAAGAATATCTGGTTGGGTAGTTAATATGAATGTCTCTATTTAGAGTAAAATCGTTACAAAATCATAAAGGCCATTCTTTTTTATTAAGTCGGTACATTAACACTGCAATTTGCATAAAATGAATATCAGTAACTTTCAAAGTTCTCAATCTGAAAAACAATGGGTCAGTGTGATCAAGGTACCCAGAGCCACAACAAAGTCTCATGTCTCTCTTTTGCAACCTGAAGATACCATCAGTATTTACTTTATTAATGGCCCATACAATGTTACAGTAGGAAGTACGTGAATGAATGAAAGAATTGTAAATAATGAGCAAAATACTAAGTGGAACAAAAGGCTTTAACTTGTACATAACACCAATATAACAAGACAAAACTCGAGAAAGATCACGTACGTGTTCACGCCAAGACAGGCACTCATCAATATAAATGCCTAGGAATTTGGTATTTTTCTTTTGTACAATGGAGATGCTATCCATCTTTAATGGAATATTAGTTTGTTCAGTATTAGCACGAGTTTTAAAGTGGATGAGGTTAGTTTTACCCAAATTCAATGATGATTTATTGCATTTAAACCAGTTAGATAATTTTGGCAATTCAACATTTAGGCCCGAATTCACAAAGCAAGATTTGAGCTCAAACCTCCTTTTGTTTCGCCAAACCTCCCTTTGTTATTTACAAACCAGGTTTGTAAATAACAAAAGGAGGTTTGGCGAAACCAAAGGAGGTTTGAGGTCAAACCTTGGTCTGAGCTCAAACCTTGCTTTGTGAATTCGGGCCTTCGTGTTTGAACAAGATTATCTAGGTTTGAATGAGAGCAAAAAATATTAGCGTCATCAGCAAAAAATATATATTGTAGTGAGGAAGAGACATTGGACATATCATTAACGTAGATCCAAACAAAAAGAAGCGGGCCTAAAATAGAGCCCTGGGGCACACCATACGTAACTGATGACATATTCATATTCATATATATATTCATATTCAAATTTATTGTCCAATGATTGGAAATTTGTTTCATTTGCATGTCAGTACAAGATTACACATTATAAACATCAATAAGATACATATGGGTACAGAGTAGAACATTTAACTTGGACATAGGTAACAACAAATGCGATAGTTCAACATGCAGACTAAAATTCGATTCATAAATTCAGACTAAGTAGTTAAATTAAGTTCAAGTTCGGATTAAATTCATTCGCAATTCAGATTAAATACAATTAAAGATTTAGACCAATTCAATTCGTAATTCAGATCAAATCCATTTCAAATCCCGATCACATTCAATTCGTAATTCAGATCAAATCCATTTCAAATCCCGATCACATTCAATTTATAATTCAAACTAAGTAATAAGATTAAATTCATAATTCGGGTTAAATTAAGACATGGTCGATTTGGCATATTAAATATTGTATATTGACTTCTACAAGAAAGGTAACTACGAAACCAATTTAAAGGTACACCACGTATCCCGTGATGGTAAAGCTTGTGTAAAAGTATGTCATGATCGAGGGTATCAAATGCCTTGCTTAAATCCATGAAAATTCCTATAACATGCTCGTGTTTGGCTAAGGCAGATGATACCCTATCATATAATTTTAAAATAGCAAATTCCGTTGAATGAAACTTCCTGAATCCATACTAATAATTATTAAGTAAACTGTTGTCAGTCAAAAATGGATATATTCTATTATAAACGAGTCGTTCTAATATCTTAGAAAAACATGAAAGTATTGAGATGGGCCGATAATTACTGAATGAACTAGCATCGTCTTTCTTATAGATGGTTATTACTTTCGAAATTTTCATCATTGAGGAAACACTACCAGACACCAATGATAGGTTGAATATGTAAACGAGGGGTTTAATTATACTTCCAATTATGTTTTTAGCAAATGTGAATCCATCTCATCATGTCCAGTTGAATGACTGGAATTGAGTGATGCAATATACCTAGTACCTCAACTGCATTTGTAGGGTTTAAAAAAATACTATTTACAGAGGAATCAAAAAGGAAATCACGAAAACTATTGCTACACCCTTTGATTTTCGAGGCCTGTTCAGCACCTATGTTTGAAAAATAATTATTAAATAATTTGCAATGTCATATGGGTCCGTTACAGTAATATCAGTGTGCCTAAACACAGTTGAATGAGATATTTTCCCCCTTTTCAGAATATTATTTATTATCTTCCACTTGGAGGAAGAATCATTAGCCTGCTCAAACTGTTTGGTGTAATACATTCTTTTTTCTAAATGAAGGAACAGTACCTTAAATCAATGAAAACTACCAGTAATGCCCAATGTTGTAGGTTTCTTTTAAAGTGATATTCATCATCCTTAATAATCATTTGAGTTGCTTCCCTCAAACAACTTACGTAGCTAGTACTGCTAGTCCTATTATGTCTACTACTACTACTACTACTATTACTACTACTACTACCTTCTACTACTATTACTACTACTTCTACTACTTCTTCTTCTTCTTCTTCTACTACTATTACTACTAGTATAACTCATGGTACTAATGATAATCATACTTCTACTACTATCACTACTATTCCACGACTCAACTAGCACTACTAGGCCTACTTCTACAACTTTTTCTAGGCCTATTAGACCTACTACTACTAATACTAATACTACTACTACTTCTTCTTCCTCTTCTACTACTACTACTACTCCTACTGCTGCTGCTACTACTATACTACTATATCTCTATTACTACTGATTCCACTGCTATTTAGGCAACTAAAACTAAAAGTTTGGTGTTAACATTATCAATACTGGACTAACATTAAGGTTAAATAAAGAAACGATAACTGAAATTTTAAAAAATTAAGGAATTATTCCTAATGTCGTAGGTTTCTTTTAAGGTTATATTCATTATCCTTAATAGTCAATTTGAGTTACTTCCCTCAAACATTCTTTATTCTTGGACCCCTATCTAAACCGTATTTTGTTGCTAGAGTGTTCTTGCTTGTGCTATGGGATAATACATACAATATATTGTGAATCCCTTGCAGGTAATTATCTACCTAACCAGCAGGACTCACAAGACCACAAGGAGACTAGCCAAGGTATGATTGTAATATGGGGCAATAATTTTCTCATTTATTACTTTCGTTCGGTCAGGTCATTTTGACCCGGCATATATTCATTTAAATATATTTTTATATATACTCCTGGACTTGTTTGTCAGTATACAAATGATGCACAGGTTTGAGTGCGTCGGTAGGGATTGTGTGCACAAGGTACCTTTGAATGGTTTTAGAACAAATTCAAAGGTACCGCGTGCACACAATTCCACCGACCCACGAATTAAACCTGTGCATCATCTGTTTTATAAGATGGGGCCCCAAAAATTGTCGAAAATACAACATTTTTATATTTTACAGATTTACCGGTAATTACCAGACGCATGATTTTTCCATAGCCATGCTTTCCGGTAATTACCGGAAAGCTTGATTTTTAAATTTGCATAAGTGCAATCGATTAAAACAAATGTAGATTGACTTAGGCCTAAACCTTAACAAAATAAAGTCAGGCCTAACTGACCTTAACATGAAACCTTAACAAAAGAAAGTCATTAAATTAAGAAAAAAACTTATTTTGCAAGCTTTTTTGAGTTTTGGGGAGGTGCGGTCTAAATTAAAAGAGGTCTGGATCTTGTCCATATCAAGTACATAAATTGAGGATTTATGTGTGGTGCTTCCCGGCCCCTCTCGCTTCAGTTTCACCAACACAGCATTAAACATACATGTGCTCTCGAGAAATTGAAATTTGTTACAGATAGTTAAAGTACAGTAATCCAAAAAGTGGAGTATAATAACACATTTGATGCTTTATATGCTTGTATCATTCCAGATATCTACAGTAAGAAGATCACCGCATCACTGAATGTTCAGCGATGTCGCGAAAAGTTGGAGAATAAGTACGTAAACCAATTGTGCAAAATTCAAATGAAGCCATGGGACAAGAATTATAATGCTGAGTTCGAAGAGATGCACACGGTGGTTACAATGGTGAAGAAGGACGCTCGTGAACAAGACACGAACAAGAAGGAAATACTTCAGGGTTCTGTTACTGAAATATTTTCAACGAAAGTAAACGGAAGACTGCCAACTCGAATCCTCATTTCGGCCCCCGCTGGAAGAGGGAAGACCACAGCTGTCGCAAAGATGGCTTACGACTGGGTTCACAGAGAAAAAGGTTCAGGATTAGAAGAACTGCCACTTCTGTTTGTTGTGAAATTCCGAAGCACAAGCAAGCTTACATCGATCGGAGAAGCTATCAAGTCCCAGCTTTTGAGTGATGTTGAGGATCTTACACCAGAGGGTCTGGAGAGTTTCATTAGAGAGAATCAGGGAATTTGTCACATCATACTAGACGGACTAGATGAGTATGCCGGTATTTCCTCAGAGAGCAATATGGTCAGTGTCATCCGCTGGGAGGAATTTCCAGAGTGTCGAGTCCTTGTAACAACACGCCCTCACCTAGAGAACTTCTTCAATCAAGGTGATCTTCCCACGGTATACACAAAGATGTGGATCGAAGGATTCTCGAGAGAGAGCTCACGTGAGTACATCGACAAGTTCTTTGCTTCGACTTCGAATCCTTGTCGTGGACATGGACATGGTCTGAAGGTTTACTTTGATGAACAACCACTCATTAATGAACTTTCTAAAACACCTCTATTTTGTCTCATGGTCTGTCATTTATGGAGCGATGGGAGTTTGAACAATGAAACTGCAACTCAAACAGAATTATTAGACAGCGTGAATGTTTTTTTGATGCACCATGCCAATGCTCGATCGAAATCAAAAGGCAAAATAACGGTCGAAAAATTAGGCACAATCGTTTGCAAACTGGGTAAGGTTGCTCTGGCTGGTCTACTCGGTGATTCTAAGAAGCTAGTCTTCACGCCCCATGATTTCCGAGGAGTGTCTGCTATCCTTGATAGGGCATGTGAGCTTGGGATATTATCCAAGACGACTGATACAACAAAAAATCTCCCTAAAACTCACAAGACCACTTCCACTTCCATTGAGTTTTATCACAAACTCGCTCAGGAACACTCGGCTGGGAAACACCTTGCTGCTCAATCGAAAAAGCGGCTGTGGCCCTGGCAGACTTCTATGCTGGACAGAGTTCTGCACAAGATCAACGCAAACATCGGTGACTATGAAAATCTTATCCGATTCGCGGCTGGCACGGATAACAGCCTCTGTGCACGAATTATGGAGGCGCTCCTTTCCAACAACTTTTTAGATGAGAGCGAGCGATATCGCATTCTCCTTGACTGCTCCTCCGAGAGCAGGGGTATTGAAGGAAACGTTTCTTCGTTGGTTCAAAGATGCCTGAATGCGCAGAGTATGGTTCTCAAGTCACCGACGTTCTACACTGTCGTTGGGATTCAAAACCTTCCACATCAACTGAAACGTGAGGTATTGCTCATTTCCAAATATTATGCGTCCATTTAACAAATTGTATTTGTTTACAACATACTAATAGAAATATCAATTTGTTATGATTGTTTATATTTCATTCCTCTGGCATAACTGTAATTCAAAGGAGCTTTCTATATTTTTGTTTTTTATTCAATATTCATGTATAATTAACAGCGTCTAATCATGCTTTACAAATAAATGGACACACACACTAAATGTACAATTGACAGACTTCATTTTTTTTCCTGAACCTTATTTGAAATATGTATAATAAATCACGTTGTGTGATATAGACCTCATGATCAAGACATATGATTCATACTGGGAAAAAATCAAATAGTTATCATTTTACGTTTTGGCCACCTGTCGCCTAGATTATACTGCATTTCAGAAACAAATTTAAAAAAAAAATAATAATAATTAAAAGAAATAGGCCGTAGGGCCTACTCATATATGTATAAGGAAATGACGAGACGCCGTCAATATAAGCATGAAGCCTATGTACGCCGAAGGGTTTGTAGATTCTATTTTGAACAAATCTATTTGAAAATTACTTATTAATGTTACTAAAAAAAAGTGGGGGAGGGACCTTCCTTTACTTACCAAATATTTACAGGCAAGATCAGGCCGCAGTCTCGGGTTGCTTTAAAGGGATCCGGTAACTTTGTCTCAAATTCTGAAACAAAATTCTGGATTAAGCTCATGATGCAATGATAATTATAAACCTTTAGGTCAGTCAGGAACCCCATGAATTTTACAAGCCGATCGCCTGTCTGATTATCAAGATATTAATGATTGGAATTACAAATTTTGAAAACCGTTCGCCTGACGGTTTTCATAACACTACAGTCTATTGGGGAAAACGAGTATGGTAAAACCGGTCACTCAAAGATTTTTACTTTTTTGAGGCACTTCTTGATCATTTTGAAGCGCAATTTTTTTAGGGCTTCAATATTACATCATATCACAGACACTGATAACACGTTGGGCCGTGTATCTCATATTTAACATTGTTAAACGATCCCTTTAATAATCATTACACAATAATTAAAACAAGACAATAAATAGATATCTTCATCAAACAATGATGTTGTTATATCCGTACAATCTGTTTTTAATTCTCTCTCTCTCTCTCACTCACTCTATTTCACTCTGTTTCTTTCTTTCTTTCTCCCTCCTTTTTTTATCTCTCTCTCTCTCTCTCTCTCTCTCTATCTTAACACCAGGTTCGGACAGTAAAGTTCGAGGGGTCTTCTCTAACTACCGACGTAACGAGTGGACTATGGCCCCGCCTCGGATCATTTTCGATGCTACATACTCTCACCATCTCAGACTCCTCTCTAAGTTTTCCTTCATCTCCTCCTGAGCTTCCATCCGTCACAAAGCTATTAGCCGAGGGAGTGACGTCACAAAGCTATGAAGGTCTGCTCTCATCACTCCCTGGCTTGAGAGGAATCGATATCACTATCGATGATGCAGAGAGAGACATACCTCAGATCACGGCTGGTCTTCGTAGGACCGAAAGACAGCAGCTCACACGCGTCAACCTTACAGCACCGTCATCACTCCCACCAGAGAAGAAGAACATATCGAGAGAGACGCTGAAGGGACTAGGTCGTTTGGTCCGAGAACACACTAAGAATCTGCATATGATAGGTCTGTCCGGGATTAAGTGCTTGGACGAGGAAGGATTGGTAGAACTTGTCGAGTCGTCGACATGTTTGAATTCATTGGATATTCAGTGAGTTAGGCGTTATGTAAATATGCATATACACTGTTGGTCATAATGGTGGAATATTTATTTTTACCCCAGTTTAGGGAGGGATTTTAAAAAATTATTTATTTCTAATAGATCTAGATAATGGCATACATTCCCAGATTCTATTGAATATTAATTTGCGAGTGTTTGTTTTGCGTGACTGCTAAATCATATTTGTGTTACTGTGCTAATCAGCTAGGGAACCTACGTCCTTAAATCATAATTGACAGTAATGAGGATTAATGCCTCACAAAAGGGAATTTATATAGCTGATCGACACGATTTTTATCCTGGGGCCTCACAGTAACGAGGCCATTGCTTAGCCCCTGAATCATGACTGTACGCAGTGTTTGCTAGGGTACGCGGCCCCTTCCACAAATCCCCCAAAACGAAGAAAATGCAATAAATTGTCAAAATTCATTGCATTTCCCCCCGCCCCCAACAGGAAAAATTCCTCTGTGTGGCCATGCCTCGAACCATAATGCATGGCCCTACAGAGGAATTTTTCCTGTTGGGGGCCGGGGGAAAATGTAATGAATTTTTGACAATTTATTGCATTTTCTTCGTTTTGGGGGATTTGTGGAAGGGGCCGCGTACCCTAGCAAACACTGCGCACAGTCATTATTCAGGGGCTAAGCAATGGCCTCGTTACTGTGAGGCCACAGGATAAAAATCGTGTCGATCAGCTATATATTAGTGCCCTTTTGTGAGGCATTAATCCTCATTACTGTCAATTATGACTTAAGGACGTAGGTCCCTTAGCTGATTAGCATAGTAGCACACATATGATTAAGCAGTCACGCAAAACAAACACTCGCAAATTAATATCCAATAAAATCTGAGAATGTATGCCATTATCTAGATCTATTAGAAATAATTTATTTTTTAAAATCCTTCCCTAAACTGGGGTAAAAATAAATATTCCACCATTATGACCAACAGTGTATATGAAATTAAAGTAGACAAAATTAAACAGAAAGTCTAATTCAGAGAATGTCAGAAAGGCCAAAAATATGTGTTTTTTCATCTAATTTTATCAATAAAGATGTTAATGTCTTTGGGTGTATTACAAACTATCAAAACAACATCTCTAAGTGAATTCAATATACAGACTACTGGAAATTATAAATACATTTTCAATTCGTGGGATGAAAGGAGGTTGCATGGAGAAACTTTTTCTTAAATTCTTTTTAATTTGATTCCCTCACTGACAACGTAAACATGATTTTAGACTGTTTGTATAGGTTTTTCTTTTATTAGCATTTACTCGTAACATCTGGAATTGTTCATCGTGTCATCTTTGTTTAAAATCTTAATGATCTCTTTATAACAAAATGTAGATATATCTCACTAGGACCTCTCTGCATTTAAGTATCATATGGTACTCACAGGCCGTGTCCGATATCAATATTATGTCATGAGTCCCAGACATTTTACAAACATCTCTCCGTGGTGTCTTTTTTCGCCTTCACCTTTATTTTTTTAATACTGTAGGACCACTAATGGTGGATCTTTTCACTACGACACACAATCAGATGTCCAGGTAAGCAGATTCTTTTTAACGAAAAATATACGAAATCTAATTGTAAGGAAAGCCAATACACTATTTTCACCCGATGGGAAAACACAAAGAAAACTTATTTTCTAGCAATCAAAGTGAATATAGTTCTAACAGATACAAATGTGTGATTGGTCGACAACTCGTTAAGTGATATTGATTGCGAGGGTTGTAATTAGCATATTTGACTTCCAGTCATTTGACGGTTACATTGACCGGTCAAATAAGCGAGTTCGTAATTAGGATTTGCGCATAGGCAGATAAAGGTCATTCGTACCCAAATGAGGGAGTTTACAGATAGCACATGGTACAAATGACCCTACATATCCACAGATCTTTTACACATGGAGAAGTTCCACTTTGAGCATATTAGAATAATAACTGCCAAAGTCCTAGATGTGCTTCATGAATACCTTTTGTTTGCCCTCTTGAAAAGAATACTTCCACCTGCGTATCATAGAATGTACCGTTGGTGCATAAATAAATAATGTTACATAACTTTCATGAGCGCATATCCAGTATTCATCTATGTGGGTTTTACCTTTTTGGTACAAATGACCTTTATCTGCCCATGCGCAGATTGTATCTGTAAACTCCCTTATTGTAAAACCATTGAGACGAATACTCGGATCGTGCTCATGAAAGTTATGTAATCAGTATTCATTTATGCACCGACAGTACATTTATCTGATACACAGGTGGAAGTATTCTTCTCAAGAGGCAAACAAAAGGTATTCATGAAGCACCTCCATCACTTTGGCAGTGATTATTCTAAAATGCACAGGTGGGAAGTATCCATCGTGTCTAAGATCTGTGGATATTTTAGGGAAATGCGGTCCAGAGCTATTTACGAACTCGCTTATTGGGGTACTTCTGAGTCAAACAATATCCTAACAACCCGACATATATCCATCGCTTCCATTGATTGTCATGGCAGCGGGTGTTTGACACGAATGCTAGACGGCTCGAGAAAAAACACAAGGCCTGAAATCACAATTACCCTTAAGTCTGTTATAACGAAGTACAATCAAGGCTAAACCATTTAACAGATATCAACTGGCTGAACTGAGTACATACTTTTTTGATAGCAAGGAGGCTATATTTTCCGTCGTGATAATTTTCCCGCAGCGCTTCGCACCCTCGGTCAATATCAGTATACTATGATTATCGTCATGTGTTTCATGTCCACAGTGAAGCCAGGGGCGGATCTAGCCGGTGACAAGGGGGGGGGGGGGGTTACTAAATCTTGAGAAAAATTTAGCGCCAACTCAGCCGACCGGTGAATAAGCGGTGGGGGGAGGGATAAGAACACATTTTTTTTTATTTGGTCCAGTTTATGAAAAAGAAATAAGCGCTGACTTAGCCGGCCGGTGAATAGGCGGGGGGAGGGGGGTTGGGATTTGAGCCCATTTTTGTTTTGGTCCAGTTTTTGAGAAAATGTTTAGCTCCGACTCAGCCGGCTGGTGAATAAGTAGAGGGGGGGGGGGGGGTAAGAGCACATATCTTATTTATTTTTATTTCTTTTTTTTTATTTTTTTTTTTTGGGGGGGGGGGTCCAGTATGTGAGAACAAATTTAGAAGCGTTTCATCCAGCCAGTGAACAAGTGGGGGGAGGGGAGGGGGGGGGCTAATGGAGAGGAGAACCACAATTTTTATTGTTTTTTTGGGGGGGGACGAAAATATATGTATATTTTTTAATTGTTTTATTTATTGATATATTTTTTTTTGGGGGGTCGCTTTTGTTTGTTTTTTAAAAAATGGTTAAATTTACGTTATTATCCTATTTTTTACCTTTTTTTTGGGGGGGGGGGCTAGGGGGCCGGGCCGGAAAAATCTGCACGTAGATCCGCTACTGGGTTAAGCTTAACCTTAAAAGGGGGAATGTCTTACTGTGTACCCGGTTTCGCATAACATCATTACCGTGGCCGTAACAATCTTGTATTCCGTCCTTCAGGTAATGAAATGTCGGCTATCTACTGAAATGACTGCTAGGATTTGGTCATGTCTCAGATCCTACAGCTCGCTGAGATGTCTCACCATCTCAGACTCCTCTCTCAGTTTCCCTCCTTCTCCTCCTGAGCTTCCATCTGTCACAAAGCTATTAGTTGAGGGAGTGACGTCACAAAGTTATGAAGGTCTGCTCTCATCGCTCCCTGGCGTGAGAGAAATCGATATTACTATCGCTGATGCAGAGAGAGACATACCTCAGATCACGGCTGGTCTTCGTAGGACCGAAAGACAGCAGCTCACACGCTTCAACCTTACAGCACCGTCATCACTCCCACCAGAGAAGAAGAATATATCGAAAGAGACGCTGAAGGAACTAGGTCGTCTAATCCGAGAACACACTAAGAACCTGCATATGATAGGTCTGTCCGGGCTGAAGTGCTTGGACGAGGAAGCATTGGTAGAACTTGTCGAGTCGTCAACATGTTTGAATTCATTTGATATTCAGTGAGTTAGGCTATATGCAAATATGCATATATATATATATATATATATATATATATATATATGAAATTAAAGCGGACAAAATTAAACAGACAATCTAACTATAAACTATTAAAGGCCGAAACAAAACTTTCAAATCAATATAATGACAACAATATACAGACACCTGGAAATTACGAATACATTTTCAATTCGTTCGACGAAAGGAGGTTGCATGAAGTTTTATCTGGGGGGTAGGGAGGGAGGGGGTATCTTTACGTGTTTTTTTATACTTATATTCCTTTTAATTTTAATACCCCTACTGACAAAATTAAAAATAATGTTTTTTAGACAGTTATTACAGGTTTTTCTTTTGATTATCATTTTTCATGGTGAATCTCGTAACACCAGACATTGTTTGTCGTGTCATGTTTGTTTGAAATCTTAATGAATGATCTCTTCAAAAAAAAATTGTAGTTATCTCACTAGGACCGTGTCCGATATCAATGTTATGCCATGAATCCCACTAAAAGACATACACAAACTTATGGTGTCTTTTTTTCGCCTTCAACTTTATTTTTGAAATACTATAGGACCACTAATGGTGGATCTTTTCACTACGACACACAATCAGATGTCCAGGTAAGCAGATTCTTTTTAACGAAAACTATACGAAATCTAATAGTAAGGAAAACCAATACACAATTTTCACCTGATGGGAAAACACAAAGGAACTTATTTTCTAGCGATCAAAGCGAATATAGTTCTAACAGATAAAAATGTGTGATTGGTCGACAACTCGTTACGTGATATTGATTGCAAGGGTTGTAATTAGCATATTTGACTTCCAGTCATTTGTCGATGGTTATAATGACCAAACGGTCAAACTAACGTATTTTTGCTTCATACCTAATTAAACAAGCAACCCTACACGCACCAATCGTTTGCATTGACATATCTGCGTGTAATTTGAGGCGAAGGCTGCTGGACGGCTCGAGAAAAGCACTGTTATCATAATTACCCTTTTTAATGTCTAGAAAGCATGCGAAGGAACAAACTATTGATCACCGCCGTCATTATGGCTATGCTTATGTTCAAATGTATAAGGGGCATTGCTCCACCTCGCTTATCAATCGAAATACAAATGTATTTTGACCGCCATCGCCTTAATACAAGAAATACTAACTGTCTTAACGTAGTATTGCCTAAACTATACGTGACCTAATTCAAACAATCTTTTAAGTATGCCGGAGCGGTTAATTGGAATAAGCTTCCCAATGATATCCAAAACATTCAGTAGACAGTTTTAAATACCAATATAAAAAATCTTCCTATAATCGATAAAATGTGTTCATTGCCGTTTCTCCTTACTACTACAGCATTATATGCAATAACTATCTAAAATGATTGCCAACCCTATTATCTAGAAAATTACATATACTTACATTACGTTTTAAATTTGATATCTATCTTATATAATTGTTTGATCGAGGCCTATGCAGCTGCTAAGACATTTCGTGTTCTATTTTTATTTTTATTTTATAATTGATTATACTACATGTGTCAATAAAGTTTTGTAGATTCACCTATCCATCGATGTATTTTTCCCCAGGATGTATGCATTTTCTTTTTTCTTTCTTTTTTCGTCTGATCGTCAACGAAACGGAGTTAAGCGTTTTTTCAATTCCGTTTGTTGCTACGGCAGGCAGCCAGTGAAAACGAATTTGTTTAATCAAATTAAGAAAATACAAGCATCACTTTAAATAAACAGAACGATTATTCCTGGCTCTTTTTCCTGATTGAGTTGTCATATGAAAGAGCAGAAAATGAACTTTCTAGTAATGTGAATTTCTTCGAAATTCAGATACCGCCCGCCAAATGACATTTTGGTTCCTTTCTTCAAATTGTTTTAATCACTCATGCGTGTAATATGCATCATATGAGTTGTAACAAATGAAAGAGAAGAAGCTAAGCTTTACAAATATGCGTCATTTATTAATTATAATTGGGATTAAGTTATGATAAAACATCGATAATTCTCGGTTTCGTTTTTTCTGGGTCGCACTGTATATATATATATATATATATATTTATATGTTTTATCATACGGCAGTGCACATTGCTGCGCACGAAGGGGTTTTAAAGTGACATACTGGTTATTGAATCTACACACCTACTTGTTTAATAGCCTGTTTTTAAAAGGGGATATAACGTGGGAGTTTACCTACCTTGTTTAAATTTTAGGTGGTTTATTAATTATGAACATTGGGCAAGATTAGATGAGGCTGATGAGAATGGATGGGCTTGGTGGTGTATCCTGAATGGTAAGGGCTAGTGGAGGGGGTGGGGTTAAAAGGAGTATGAATTACCTACTTGGGGTTTTATTGTTTATGAACATAAGGCAGGATTGTTTGAGAGGGGTGAGAAGGGTTTTGGCATAGTGATGCAGCCTAGATGATAAGGGGCAAGTGGTGCGAGGGGGTGGGGGTTATGGGGATATAAAGGAGTATATATTAGGCCTACCCACCTGGTTTTCTGTGTTTGTTTTTTTAATTATGAACAGTGGGAAGGATTTTTTAGGGTGATGAGAAGGGGGTGGGCTAAGTCATGCCACCTGGTTGGTTAGGGGCTAGTGGAGGGAGAAGGGGATTCACTTGGCAGCATCCCCTTTATTAATTAAACCACCAATCCACCCTATACCCTGCCAAATCAGAAGAATTTGGTTTTGCTTTTTCGTATTTATTTACTTATTTAAATACCCACACCCGTCCCCCTCTACAGGGTAATCTGTAACCAGTGGCGTAATGAGCAAAAACGTTTGGGGGAGCTGACAAAAAAAATCCGCAGCACCCCACTCTAACAGCAGGCCCCGCTGAACGTTTCGCAAAGTGGGGTCTAGGGGCAAAGCCCCGGCAGGGGTCAGGGGTGGAGCCCCCGAAACTCAAGGGGTATAGGCATCAGTGACGGATCCAGGAATTTCTTACCGGGGGGGGGGCACAAAATGGCATGGGGTTAAATATATGTAAAATGATGAAGCGACCGAACGAGGCTTTAGCGGCGAGGGAGCGGAGCGACCAAGCGTGGGTGGGTCTTGGAGGGGGTTCTGGCCCCCTCCCAGGATAAGAAGCATTTGCAATTTTAGAACCAAATTAGTCGCATTTTCAGGCACTTCCTGGAGTAATATGATGTAAAAATAATTGCTTTCTCCTACCCCTTCCAAGAGTAGGGATCTTTTGCAATTTGAGAACCACATTTGGAGCATTATTTTCCACCGGCACTTCCTGGAAAAAAACGAGGCCTTCTGATTGGTTAAAAGTAAGAGAAAAGTGATCTGTCACGTCTTGAGACGTTGTATATGCTTTGATGCTGCACAATGCACAAAGACAGTGGTCCGGTACTTCATCAGTAGTACTTGCAAAATGTTTCTCGAGTGTATAAACTTTGTCGTTATCAGGGGCGTCGCTAGATCTTTGTCAGTGGGGGAGTGGGGAGGGTGTAGAGGCCACCGATTACCGACAAAACGAGCAACCAATTACCGACAAATATATTAATGCCAATGTCCAAATGTCTACAAATTTAACCCTATAATCCCAGGGCCAGGAACTAAGTTATTTTTCAGTCTCCCCCCTCCCGCGCGAAGCACGGAAACTTTGACACTTCATTAAATTATTAGAGAAAGAAAACGATCAGTGGTACCATTCTCGACTCTCAATTCTTGTTTGGATCCAGTTCTCCCCCCCCCCCTTCCTCCCGCGCGAAGCGCGGCAGTTTTTTACGTTTTAATGAATTATTACTCTTAATCCTTGTCTGAATTCATTTTCGCCCATCCCGCGCGAAGCGAGACAGCTTTGACGATTCATTAAATTATTACTCTTAGTCCTTGTCTGAATTCATTTTCGTCCATCCCGCGCGAAGCGCGGAAGCTTTCACGTTTCATTACATAATTGGAGAAAGCATACGATTCGTTGTATCGTGTTCTTGTTTGAATTCAGTTTTCCCCCTCCCGCGCGACACGCGGAAGCTTTGACACTTCATTAAATTATTAGAGAAAGAAGACGATTCATTGTACCGGTTTCGACTCTTAATCCTTGTCTGATTTAATTTTCACCCATCTCGCGCGAAGCGCGGAAGCTTTAACGTTTCAATAAATTATTACTCCTAATCCTTGTCTGAATTCATTTTCGCCCATCCCGCACGAAGCGCGGAAGCTTTCACGTTTCATTAAAATATTAGAGAAAGAAGACGAAGCGTTGTATCGTGTTCTTGTCTGAATTCAGTTCCCCCCCCCCCTCCCGAGCAAAGCGCGGAAGCTTTGACACTTAAATTATTAGAGAAAGAAGACGATTCATTGTACCGGTTCCGACTCTTAATCCATGTCTGATTTAATTTTTGCCCATCTCGCGCGAATCGCGGGAGCTTTAACGTTTCAATAAATTATTACTCTTAATCCTTGTCTGAATTCATATTCGCCCATCCCGCACGAAGCGCGGAAGCTTTCACGTTTCATTAAATTATCAGAGAAAGAAGACGATTCGGTGTATCGTGTTCTTGTCTGAATTCAGTCCCCCCCCCCTCCCGAGCAAAGCGCGGAAGCTTTGACACTTCATTAAATTATTAAAGAAGGAAGACGATTCGTTGTTCCGTTCTCGCCTCTTAATCCTAGTCTGAATTCAGTTGCCCCCCCCCCTTCCGAAGCGCGGAAGCTTTGCCGTTTCATTAAATGATTAGAGAAAGAAGACGATTCGTTGTACCGTTCACTACTCTTAATCTTGTCTGAATTCAATTTCCCCACTGGGCCCCTTAACGGTACATATGCAGTGTTACATGATGTAAGTATTGAACGCCCGGCAGTGCTTGTCACAGTTGCTTCTGGAAAGGATTTTTTTTTTACTAGTGTTACTGTTAGTGGCAACGGCCCTTAGTGACTATAAAAAAAAACATATGCTCTTCCTGGCCATTTGGGAATGTGTCAGTTTGCAACATAAATGGTGAAACGCGCATTTTGTTGAAAATCGTGTGATATCACGAACATTTATACACCATTTGTATATGGAATTGAAAATAAGTCATGGTTCATTTTTATTGGGGGGGGGGGGGGCTGGCGCCCCCCCCCCCCACTTTTTCGCCAGTGTCTGTAACGGATCATGCCCAAAGGGCTCTCATCCAGGGGCTGTTTTTGTAATAGAAGTAGTGGATGTTCGCAGTATAAGAGAATCAAATAGTGTTTACCTTATAGGGATAGTTGAGTTTTTTTTTCAGAGGGCGCTACACAAAATAATTTTGTTGTGAGATAATGAAAAACTGAGTTATTCCATATTTAATAGGTTTACTTTGATATTGGACACCATTGACCAAAGCATACTGATACCTATTACTAAAATAACTTTTAAACCAACCTAAAGCTAGCCCTCTTACTCCATATACATTTAGTTTACGCATGAGTATGTTGTGGTTAATGGTGTCAAAAGCTTTTGACAGATCCATAAATAATCCAATACAGTAATTGCCTTCGTCAATTTTGTTGTGATATAAAATTTAATACACACATAGAAGTTGAACAATTTTCACGGAAACCATTTTTCAGGTATGAGGATTTCATTGGTAGGTCAGGTAAAGATATGTATGCACACTTCAACGAAATC